TTTTTAAATAAATAAAATAAAATTCATAAAGGTATTTTTAAATCATAAATAATAAAATTTTCAATTTAAAGTAATGAGTAAAATAGTAATTAAAGATGAAAAAAACTAATAAGTAAAAATAAAAATTCTAAAAATAAAATTAAAATAAAACAATCAAATCAAATCAAATCAAAATAGAAAATAGGATGAAAGAAAGAAAAAAAAAGAAAAACCTGCGATTGGGTTAAACTTGAAGCATGGATCTTTACGTAGGTCGTCGGGTTCAAGCAAAAACTTCAAACTTCAACCAAAAAATTCATCCTAAACCTAGAAAAGTTTTCAGATTCTTAAAAACCCAATAGAAATCCCAAAATAAAAAATCAACAAAAAAACCCCGGCAAAAATCTCATAAACTTAACATAATATGGAATCAAACTTAAAAATTAAAACCCAAATTTAGGAAATTCAAAAATCATATCAAATTCAAAATGAAATAATTCACAGAACCCAAAAAAAAATCTCAAAAATTGCTTGAATGATTCTTGTTAAAAACAGAAAACTAAGATCCCTAGTATTTTTTCCCTCTATTGTGTATGGTTAATTAGTGTTTATATGAGGCCTTCTACTAAGAATTTTAGGGATTTGCATTGAATGGAAAAGATTGCAAATTTGATTATGCTCTGAATTGATTTTTTTCTTGATTCTCTTTAAAGCCGATTTAATTAATTTCTAGAATTGTCTTGATTTTCCTTGATTTTTAGAATCCCTTAAAATTTCTCCAAATTAAATCTAACTTTGGTTCTCTAATTTTGTTTCTTTTCAATCCTCCTTTAATATTTGAAGATATCGTGTTTAAGTCTTAATTACTGAGATCATCCTTGATTAATGCTCAAATTACTCCACATGATTAATGATTCATGATAAAAATTTAAAACCAGATATATAAAATACTAAAATATTAAAAAAAGAAATAAATAAATAAGAGAAACAAGATATAAAAAAGAAATGTAGGAAATTGAACTATTGGGCTTGGATCAGATCTAGGCTCAATTGGTTTGAGTCTCAAACTAAATAGGATGTCCACAGTTGGGTAACAAGTTCACGTGGATCTTTTCCTAACCAAAATAGCATCTTTTTAACTCTTCCCTCTCCTATGAAAACCAAATTTTTTTTCAACTAATTTTTCCCCCTTTTTACAAAAAAAAAAACCTCAAAACCAAAAAATTTCTTCCACTCTTTTCCCAGAAAATGATAGGTTGTCATCATGCACTTTTGTTCATCGTCATCATTGCCAATCACCAGAAAACTTCCAAAAGTCACCAAAAACTCCTATCAACCTCTTGATTCTCATTTTGAGCTCCGTTTTTCAAAAAACTCTCTCCAAATACCAAGATCTATTCTCAAAATCTCGGTTGAAAACTCTTTTTTTTTTCATTTTTTCATTTTTTATGGTTTTTTTTTTTTAGTGTTGATTACCTATTCTAAAGGATGTGGATTTTTTTTTTATTTTTATATTAAGAAAAGGTTTTTTTTTTTGTTTGATAGAAGATTTCTTTTATGGGTTTTTTTTTTATAGAGTTTTTCCCTTATTCTTTCTTCCTCTTTGTTTTTTGCTTGATCTTTAAATTTGTAGAATTGGGATGAGAGATGAAATCTCATAATTTTTTAGATTCTGAGGGGTTTTCATAGGGTCACCAGCGACTATATGCTACCTGGACAACTATCGATGTGACCTTTTTTTTTTCCAATTTAGCTTAAACTAGAATTTTGAAGACTTGGCCTTATCTGCCATGGCTGAAAGGGGAAGGGGGTATAAGCAAAAGGGTAAGGTGGCTCGTGGGTTGCCAGTGCCATGCACGACACCCAAAGTCATAGGCCTTTCTTTTTTTGTTTTTAATTACTTTTTAATTATTTTTATTTTATTTTCTCTTTTTTAAAAAACAAAAACTTAGCAGCTTAACTGGATTTTGGGCCACAACTTTAGGCCAAAGATAAAATTCTAGTCTTAAGCCCAATTGAAATAAAATTTGGGCCCAATATCCATTCAATTGAAATCAAGATCCATTTTAGACAATTCGAACAAAATCGGGTGTTTACACATTTCTTGTGCAAACAAACCATTTATTAATTTATTTTATTTTTAAAAATATCTTCTAATATATTGGTAAGATTTTTTTTATTAAAGATTCTCCTCCAATATATTGGTAAGATCTTACAGAAACTTTTTTTTTCTTTTAAATCTTAATTAAAAATCATAAAGTTCTCTAATATGTTAGTAAAACCTTATTTTTAAAATCACAAGCTTTTTAATATGTTGGTAATGCTTTTTGAAGACTATTTTTTTTATTTACCTTGAAATTTAATTTTTATGAGAAATTCATAAGGTTCTCCAATCTATTGGTAAAACCTTATTTTTAAAATCACAAGCCCCCAATATGTTGGTAAAACTTTATTCTATTGAAGAATTCATTTCTTGGGAATTTAAACCCTCCAATATGTTGTTAAGGTTCAAAATTTTTCATTTTTTTTAAATATGAACCCTTCAATATATTGGCAAGATTCATTTTTATTCAAAAATTCTTTTTTAGAAATTTAAACCATCCAACATGTTGGTAAGATTCATTTTTTATTCAAAAATTTATTTTTAGAAGTTTGAACCCTTCAATATGTGATAAGATTCATTTTTATTTGAAAAGATTTTTTTTTATTTTTTTATAAAAATTATTTACAAATAAATAAATACATAAATAATCAAATAAATAAATAAAATAAACAAATAAATAAACCACTAAATAAATAAACAAATAAACAATTAATAAAGAAAATATACAAATAAATGAAAAATAAATAAATAAATAAAAATGAAATTATACCAACAAGATTGACTCGATTTAGTGGCTGAGAAGGTGCGACTATAAGACTAGAGGATAACAGGATATGGCACAACTCAAGACTAGTTGGCTCGGCTTAGAAGCTCAATTAGCTTAGGAGGATTGTGAGTCGTTGGATAGTGAGGTATGGTTCGAATTGGGTCAATGCAAAACACACGGATCTTAGGGTTTAACCTTACCCAAAATGAGACCATTCTAGGACATTATAAAACTTGCAAATTTGTTTTGTCTTTCCTTAGATTTCTTTTTTCTTTCTCTCATTTCTTTCTGTTTCTTTGCTTCTCTCTTTAAAGCTTATGAACGTCGATTGAATGCTTTGTCGATTTTTGAAGAATATTGTTGAAAATTGAAAAAAAATTGTTAGAGAGTCATCGAAAAATTTGAAGTTTGTTGAAATTTTGGTTGGATTCTAGAATTTTTAGAAAAAATTTTAGAAATTTAAAAAAATTTGCTCCAAAACACCAAATTAGACTTTTAGCTCCTGAAATCCTTAAAAAAATACCAAATTAAATTCTCTCAACTTAAAAACTCTAAAAAATCCTTCTGCTAAAAACTTTCTTTTTTCAAAATTTTGGATGCTATTTATTTTCTCTCTATTTGTTGCTGCTATCTTTCTTGTTAAAATGCTATCTCTTATTGTTCACTATGCTTACTGTTGTGTGTGTGATCATTGTGTGATGATTTCAAGTCTATTTATAAAAAAAAATTTAGCAGAATCTCAATTCAATTAGGATTAAATTTATTTCAAATAAACACCTAAATTATCTTTTGAAATCAATCCTATCATTTATCACCTAAGCTAATAACATCCAAACTTCATCTATTTGATTTTTTTTAAATAATTAGATAATTTAAAGAAAATATAAATGGAATTTGAAGATAAGGATAGCAAAGAAATTAAATAAAATTAAAAATAACGAAAAAAATAAAAATAGATAATGAAATAAAAAATAACATATGTATATATAAATTTAATAAAAATAAAATAAATAAAAAATTCAATTTATAGGTTCGAACTTTGAGTAAAACAAGATGTTTGTAGTTATATAAAATAAAAAAAATTTACTATCACAATGAAGGTAACTATTTTTATTGTATCTGTTACACCGATAATTATTATTACATTCACAATCATAATAAATTTAACGTGACCGAAAACGTAACCATGACATTAACCAAAATTGTTCTCCACCACAACATTTTCAGGCAACGAATGGGTGAATATTACTGCAGCCATTAATAATCTTCCTCACTGTGTGTAAGTAAACGAGAGATTGAGTATATGTATGCCACCTAGATCCAAGTCAAAAAATTCCAAGAATACTCATGGCCGATTAGCTGCCAAAACCAACAAAAATCTCCATATTTTACTCTTATCATTTATTGCCTTTTTTACTTTTGATAGTGTATTTTTTGGGTTTTAGGGAAATTATTTTCTTTTTGGTTTTTTAGTGATGGTTTTCGAATGAAAATAGAGTAGGAATTTTTTACTCCAGATGGAATTTTATGAAGGTTCTGCGTATTTGGCTATTTAGATGGGTGTGGTGGTTTCGGTGAGCAAAGGGTTGAAGGGGTTTTTTGTGTTTGCTTTTGGGTGGATGATGGTGGTCATGGTTTAGCTTTGATGGCTTTTAGATGAAATTGGTGACGAGTTTAGGTTCTTTGCTAAGTGGGTGTGCTAGTAGCACAAGGGTACTAGTGGTGATGGTAACAAATTTTTTTTTTTGAAGTTTTTTTTTTCTTTTTCAAAATTTCCCCCTCTGTTGATTTCTCTGTTCACTTTTATAAGTAGTTTCAGAGTTTAGGTTCATGAGAAAAAACGAAAAGTAGGTAGAAATGTGCGGGGTAAGAAAGAGGGTTGTTGGCAGCTTAATTTCGACTGCAATGATGGCTGGTAGGGTAGCTTGACGATTCAAGGGATAGGTTGGCTGAATTGCAGGGCTGGTAGACATTGTTGCTGGTGGTTTCATGCACGGTATCTGCTTGTGATTTGATTTTCTTTCAATTTGTTCTTATATTTATTTTATTAAATTTTTTATTCCTTTTTTATTTAATATTCATTAATTAATTAAATTATTTATTTAATTAAAATGCTATAGAGCTCAACCTAACTCTCGTAAAACGAGAAATTTTAGCATTGTATTCCGGAGTTTGCCTCTTACCTTTCATTTAATTAAAGCACTAATTTGATTGCATGAGTCTGGAAATTTGGGCTTTAAGCCTCAAATGACTTAAGCTTTTTAACTTTTAAAGCACATAAGATCCATTTAACTAGAAGTGGATTGAAATTAAATTTTGGCCCATGTGATTTTAGATTGGAAAATTTGGACTCAAGATTATCAAGTTTGCACAAGTCCAATATCAAACAACTCTGATTGGAAAGCTCAAATAATCAAAATTGGGAACATCCGAATAAAACTCGAAATCCATTTTAATTAATCCGGATGTTTAAACAACCGCTTACTTAACAGTTAAGCCATGACGTCACTTTTCTTAAATTCAATAGTTGGTACAATAAATAACCCAATAGAATGCCAGACGATTTGCAAGGGGCGTTAGCTGTCAAATGTCAGTTACCATTTACGCTGCATAAAATCAAATCACATGAGTTTTCCCATCCCTTTGAAAGTATTGCATATACTCAAATCTCTCGTTTACACACGCACAGGGGGACACCGTCAAGGAAGATCATCGATGGCTGCAGCAGCGATCACCCATTCGTTGCCTGAAGATATTGTGGTGGATATTCTGGCAAGATTGCCTGTCAAATCTCTAAAGCGATTCAGGTGTGTTGGTAAGTCTTGGTGTTGCTTGATTCAAAGCCCTCAATTTATTACTGCCCACTATTCTTTTAGTAAAAACAAGACCTGTCTCCTCATGAAACAAGTGAATTTTTCACCGAGAAAGGCTATGGTCTCTTTTATTTCCAATCAAACTCTTGATGTTGTTGCCAATCTTGATATACCATCCTTTACTGATGATCCAATAAGTATAAAAATCGTAGGTCATTGCAATGGCATAATTTGTCTTTGTGACAGTGTTAGTGGTATTCTTTTGTGGAACATTGCGACTAAGGAATTTAAAATTCTCCCTATGTGTCCTTTTGAGCGTCCGCCAAGCTATGAAAATACCATTGATGTAGTGTATTCTTTAGAGTGTCCGTCAAGCTCTGAAAATTCCATTGATGTAGCTGGTCTGGGTTATGATTCCAAGAGAGATGAGTATAAAGTAATTAGGATTGACACATTTTGGGAGGGTGATTTCGACAAAGTCCCCCGAGGTAACCGAGTTGCTTTGTACAACTTAACTACTGATTCTTGGAGAAAGTTGAATGACAACTTAACTGCTGAATTCTTCCATAGTTATAGGAACTATCAAGTCTACTCCAACGGATTTTATCACTGTTTGGCAGTTGTTGATAGTGAAGAATTGCTCCTCTCATTTGACATGAGTAATGAAGTTTTCGTTACAACACCATTCCCTGATGGGAGATTGGGTAAGAACTGTAGAACAACGCGCTATCTTACCTATTTAATGGAAATCAACGGATCACTTGGTGGGTTACTTTGTCATGATTATTATGTGACAGATGGCTGCTATGATGTATGGGTGTTGGGTGAACTTGGTCTAAAGAACTCTTGGACAAAATTATTCACCATTGAATCTCTTCCTCCTGCCACTACACCATTAGGAGTCGGCAGCGATGGTGAAATCTTCTTTGTTAACGAAGAAAGCAACTTTCTGGCGTGGCATCATCGAGATAACAAAGAGATAAAGACACTCCAATTTGATGGAACTGCATTAGAGCTAGCATTGTATGCAGAGAGCCTAGTTTCTTTCAGGGGAGGAACTGCATTCAACCATTAATTTTCATTTGCTGATACTTACAATTTAGTTATGCTTTTACTCAATGTTCAACCTTTTACTATCAAGATAAACTGTATTGGTACCTTTGCATTGAGAAACATCTGTTAGATTTTCTTCTCTCATTTTCTTTTATCTTACATGGCATTCAATTTTCAGTCTTTGGTTTTCTAATGAATATATCGACGTAGGCCATTGGAGTTTCTTGCTATTGCCTAAAGATGGTAACGTCAGTGGTTTTTAGATCGATTTCATGGCTATTACAAGGGTGAATGCTACCTGGAGTCGATAGAAGAGTGCCAATTTGATTGACGGAACCTCACTTGTGCATCTTTGACAATATAAACAGTGCAACAGGTTTTGTTGTTTCCGAATAAACTTGGGGGATTAAGTACAAATTTCTTGGTTGTGCTTAATTTGTCCTAGCTAACGCATGCATTTTCTTTCGTTTTATGTTTAAAGTTGATGGTTTTGATTAAAAAAATTCGTGGAGGAGCTTAATTAATCTAACTTTGGCCTTTTCTGGTTTTGTTGAGTTGTCTATATAAAAAATTTCGTGGTAAAACTTGAACTTTATAATTAGTTTTACACTTGTAAGTAATTTTGATTGAGAGAATCAATATATTTGTATATGTTTAATATTTATTTAGTACACGTGAATCAATAAATTGGCTTATCACTTTGTAAGGTAATATTGCTCTAGAGAATCAAAGTAATTTTTCGAATGAGTATTCCTTACAATTGTATTGTGTATAAAATTAATTTTCATTGGAATACAATTTGAGCTCAGGTCCAGTTTAAATTATTATTATATTAAAAATTATTTTTTGATATAAGTTTAATATTTTCGAAGCCTAGGAGCATGAAACTAAAAAGTTTGGATTTATTTATTTATTTATTTGGTGCTAAAGGTTGGATTTATTTGCATCGTTATTGACGCAAGCAACTGGGTGAATACAAATCGTATGGTAATAATTGGCTTATGTATGGTAATAATGCTATTGATAATTGAGAGATCCAAAATCATTTTCAAACAACCGAAATTGTAGACTTGCACTATGAGTAAATTACTATAAAAAACAATAATTTCATCCTTTTAAATTGGTTTCTTAATTTGGTGATCAATAGAGTGAATAAATCAATATATATGTGTGTATATATATATATAATATTTGAGAAATAAAACATTTTCTTTTCCTAGAAAAGGTTTTGCAACTTAGTTTATGTGTGATGAACCCGATAAAAAACACGATCGTATATGTGCATCTTTTATGTATTTGATTTTTTTTTCCATCAATTCAATAATGATAAATAAAAATCAATTTCAGCAAATCTGACCCAATCAAATTATGTTATTGTTATACATTTTGTCGTAACAGTTTTAGAATTATTAGATGAATTTAAAAATACATGAAATCATCATCAATTTTTTTGACTAGATGTGATTGGTTATTTTTTAAAATTAATTAAAATTTATTAAAAATATAATTTTTGGATTTGTAAAAATAATTTGAGTTCGAGAATCAGTTATGCATAAAAAAGAATTAGTATCCATACTAAGCTCTTAGAAAAATTGTATCAATTAATTATGTATTATCTTTTAATTTTGACAATAAAGTCTTAATTTTGGTATTCAAAAATAATTCTATTAACTACCTTTATTAATTTATTTTCATTTCCAGTTTTGTTATTTCTTCTGTTTTTCTTTTTTACAAAATTTTCTTTATTATTTTTATTATTTTTAAGATTAATCCATTTTATTTTAAAAACATAAATTAGAACCTTATTATTAAAAAAACTTTAAAAATGTTCTAATATGTTGGTAACATTGAAAGAAATTTTTTCACCTAAGAAATTTTAAAAATCACTACTCGAATTTTTTTAGAATCCCGTTCTCGGAGACTCGTATTTATTATTTAAAAATTAAATATGATATGTAGGCAATGCAAATTATTAAATCCTAGTGTGCATGTTTTATTTATCTCTTTTTTTTTAAAGAAAATTGTTTATTGATAATTTTTTATTATATATATTTTTAGATTTGTTTTAGAAAAAAAGAAAGATTTTTATTGCATTGAAGTTTTTTTTTTCTAAATACTCTAATGTGTTGGTAGTATTAAAAAAAAATTATCATTTAGAGATTTCTTAAGTATCACTACTCAGATTAACTTAGAATCTTATCATTAAATAAAAATTTTTCTTTTTACTCTCTTTATTTACGAGTAATTTTTTTAGAACAAATATAGCTTTTCTTTTAGAAAAATTTGTTTATTAATTTTTGTATTTTTATTATTTACTATTTATTTTTTTATTTTTTTTAAGTAGAAGAAAAAGGAATTTATATTTTTTTGAAAATTTTTTTTAAATACTCTAAATAAACTGATAATATTTTTTAAAAAATCTCACCCAAAGATTTTGTAGGAATCATTGTGCAAATTTTCTTAGAATCTCATTGTCGGATAAAATTTCATTTTTCTTATTTTTTATTATTAATTTTAGTTAAATTTTTTTATTTTATAGAAAAAGAAGGAAAATTTATTCTTATTTTATTTATTACTCTGTTATTTTTCAATTTTATTTTTAAAGAAATGTTTTTTTTTGTAGCGAAATTTAAAATTATAAAAAATTTAAACTCTATTTTTATATAAAGAATATTTTGGAACATAAAAAAACTAAAAAAAAACAATAATAATAAAATAAAATAAGTAAATACAAAAATACAAAAAAAAATTGAATCGGATCGATCAACGGTTTAGAGTTGTTCAACGATCTAGAATGGTTTCCTACTATTCAAGTGATCTAGAGTGATTTTTTACGATTCAAACCGAATCAGATCTAGTTCAATATCGGTTAAGTTGGACCGATCAAAGTCTAGTTAGCTACTGCATTTCTAGGTCGAGTCGTGCAGATCTCGAGTCGGGTAGCAGGTTCATAAGGATCCTTCCTTAACCAAATGCATCATTTTAACTATTCCCTCCCTTATAAAAACCAATTTTTTTCCAACTCATTTTCTTTTTCCCTTTATGCAAAAAAAAAAACCTCAGAGCCAAAAAATTTCTCCTAGCCTCTTCCCAAAAAATGATGAGTTGTAGTCATGCACCGCCATTTATCGTCACAGTCGTCGATCGTTAGCCACCATGTCGATCACTGAAAAACTTCCAAAAACTTCTCTTGACCTCTTGATTCTCATTTTAGGCCTCTTTTTTTGAAGAACTTTCCCTAAAAACCCATTCCTGCTGTCAAAATCTTAGCTACAAACTATTTTTCTTTTGTTTTTTTTTCTTTTTTTGTGGTTTGTTTTTTTTTTTTTTGGCTTGGTTCCTTACTCTAAGGGATGTGAATTTTGTTTTTAGTTTTTACAGATTAGTAAAGGGCTTTTTTTTTTTATAAAAGATTTTTTTAGGCATTTCTTTTTTGTAAAGTTTTTCCCTCATTCTTTCTCCTTTTTTATTTTGTGCTTGAGCTTTAAATTTATAGAGCTAGGAGGGGAGATGAAATCCTATGATTTCTTAGATTTTGAGGGGTTTTCAAGGGGTCATTTGTAGCCTGCACACTGCTAGGGCGGTTGCTAATGTAACTTTTTTTTTCCATTTTAGCTTAAACTAGATTTCTTGAAGACTTGGCCTTATTTTCCATGGTTGAAAGGAGAAGGGGGTGCAAGAGGGTTGGGTGGCTTGTAGGTTGCTAGTGCCCTGCATGACACTTACAATCATAGGCTTTTTTTTTAATTACTTTTTATTATTTTTATTTTATTTACTTTTTTCTTTTTAAAACTGGAGCCCTTAATTGGATTTTGGGCCATAACTTTGGGTCAAAGATAAAATTATGGCTTTAAGCCTAACTAACATAGAATTTGGGCCCAATATCCATTCAATTGAAATTAAGGTCATTTTAGACAATCTGATCAAAATCAGATGTTTACAATTATCCTTCTTTGCATATTGTTGAAATTCAGGAAAATGACAAAAACAATTATAACAATTTTGTCCATAGTCAAAAGAAAATTTTTTTTTTGTTTTGTTTTTTTTTGTTTTGTTTTGTTTTTTTTTTGTTTTGAAGCAAATCCATAAGTTCCTTTCATTAGAGGCTAAACAATTTTAAAAATTAAGCTGAAGGGCTTCACTTATCAAAGACTCGATAACTTTAAAAATTAAACTAAAAGCTTATCTTATCAGGGGCTCGATAACTTTAAAAATTGAATTGAAGGGCTCCTCCCATCAGAGACTTAACAACTTTAAGAAAGCTCTTTTTATTAGACATTTGACAACTTTAAAAGAAAAAATCAACTAGAAAGCTCTTCTCATTAAAGGCTTGATAACTTTAAAAAATCTTATCTGAATGGAATTTGAAGATGCTTGGAGATTTCACAAACCATGTCTGACAAGTTTCTTTCAAACAAAGGTCCATATCTTTTTGGAAAGAATTCAATTGAGGATTTATGACACTATCAACCCTTGGTCAATTTTCAACTTCAAAATTTAGTCTAGACACTACATTTCTTTTTTATTGAATGTATGTAGGGAATATGATGCGAACAAAACAATACCATGCATTTTTAGTTGTGGTAACAAGGTTTTCAAGAACCTTTTTTTTTTGTCTTCTCTTTTTTCTTTTTTCAATCTTATATATTCAACTTCAAAATTGGCTTTCAGAATCTTGATGGTAGAACAACCTTTTTGTTAAATCAAAGATTCATTCTTTCAAACCCATAGGGTACCAGTTTTTTCCTTGATTTTCTTTCATTCTCATTTTTGTTTATTCTTTCATGTTACCTCTGAATTTCTTTTCAATGTAGTGCAAGCATTGTCAAGACAAACCTTTTACAATTTCAATTTTAAATGCAGTGCATCAATGTTTCCTTTATTTGTTTGAGAAACAACATAATAGAAAGGAAGGGAGGCCAAAGAAAAAAAGATATTCATTACTAAATGATACACAAGTAGATTTATTTGAAGGGTCTACACAACTAGGCATTTAAGAGCAAACTACTGGGGAAGATGTTAGGATGGGGACAATTAATTTCAAAATAATGAACATTTAGAAACTTTAAACATTTATCCAAAATTCTTATTTTTGAAAATTTTACCATTTGACATTCTTGATTTTAAAACACATCAAAATCAAACTTTGCCCTAGTATGACATGATCACTAATTTATGTTGACACCTTCATA